TACAAAACTGTGCCACATATTTATTGTTGGCATCGCAGCAGGGCCTAGGCCAGGCAGTCATTTTTGCAGGCAGGCACTTAATGAGTTTTGCTGCGGAAGAGGCAGGGCCTTGGTGGAAGGGGTGGGGATGGGGGTCTGTCCTCCCCCCAGAGTTGTCTGGGGCTGGAGGCTTTGAATTTAAAACACAGCAGAGGACTCCCAGCCCCACTGGTACCGTGTGGCCTGGGAGCGGCCTAGGGTTGCTGTGGCTATTTAAAGGGCTCATGGCTCTGACCCCTGCCAGGGTAGCACTGGAACTGGAAGCCATTTAAACAGTATCCTGCCACCTGAGCCACCGCTTTGAAATTCGGTGGCACGGGCAGCAGGGTATAAAATAGGAAACAGCCAGATGCAGCCCAGGGACCAGATCAAAGTGTTAGGCGGGCCAGATCCGGCCCCTGGGCTGCATCTTGCCCAGCCCTGGCCTAGGCCCCCTACACAAAGTGCCACCCAACCCCCAACCAAGATCAGGACCCTGCCCAGACCCTAACTGGAGAGAGCCCCGGCAGTGCTGCACTAACAACTGGAGAGAGCCCCGGCAGTGCAACGCTGACAACCGAAGAGAGCCCTGGCAATGCAACACTAACAACCGGAGAGAGCCCCGGCAGTGCTGCACTAACAACCGGAGAGAGCCCTGGCAGTGCAACACTGACAATTGGAGAGATCCCTGGCAGTGCAACACTCACAACCGGAGAGAGCCCTGGCAGTGCAACACTAACAACCGGAGAGAGCCCCGGCAGTGCTGCACTAACAACCGGAGAGAGCCCCGGCAGTGCTGCACTAACAACCGGAGAGAGCCCCGGCAGTGCTGCACTAACAACCGGAGAGAGCCCCGGCAGTGCTGCACTAACAACCGGAGAGAGCCCCGGCAGTGCTGCACTAACAACCGGAGAGAGCCCCGGCAGTGCTGCACTAACAACCGGAGAGAGCCCCGGCAGTGCTGCACTAACAACCGGAGAGAGCCCCGGCAGTGCAACACTAACAACCGGAGAGAGCCCCGGCAGTGCTGCACTGACAACCGGAGAGAGCCCCGGCAGTGCTGCACTAACAACCGGAGAGAGCCCGCCCCGGCAATGCAACATATCCTGAGGCTGTGAGCGTCTGCACTTCTTGGCAGGTCCCTATTTGCCTCCGTGGTGTTTCTGGGGAGGGCGCCGGTCACCATGGATGGCGCAAGAGCGTGGGGGATGGAGGTGTTGGCTTGGCTGGGCGCTCTGTCGCCTGAGACTCAAGCTCACTGCTGTGTTGTCTCTCCTGGAGGCTGCACAAACACAGGGTGTTGACATTGGCCTGGGGAGGTTTGCTGCATGGCTCTGGGCTGCACATCACAGGGAGCGCTGCTGTTGGCTTGTGCTGGAGAGTGCAAAGGTTCAATTCCAGCTCTGCCACTGACTTACTGGGCAAGCCCAGCCCCTTGCTCTGCCTCTGTAAAATGAGGACAATCCCAACCCAGCTCGCAGGGGTGGGAATTGTCGGGGCTTGGGTAGGGGATGAAGAGGGGCGGTGAGGTACTGCAGCATGGGACAAGACTGCAGTGGAATGGGTGATTTGGCAGGATGTGGGGGTTTGCACGTGTGATTGGGTGGGACGTGAGGGATTGCAGCGTGTGATTGGGTGGGACGTGGGGGGAATGCAGGGGAATTGCAGTGTGCAATTGGGTGGGACATGAGGGATTGCAGTGTGTGATTGGGTGGGACGTGGGAGGAATGCGGCATAGTTTGGAGTTTGCAGCATGTGATTGGGTGCAGGGCTGGCCTTACCATGAAGCGAACTGAGGCGGATGCCTCAAGTGCCAGATTGTGGGGAGGGTGCCACTTGGACCCAGAGAGTAGAAAATTGTGTCTGCTGCTGGTGCATGTGTATTCTCTCTGCTCTAGATGTACAGAGATGGTGGAGTGCTGTGCCGGAGCAATTGAGACCTTTCAAAATTTTGGCCCAAGTGAGAGGGCATGGGGGCGCCATTTGAGCTCCCCGCTTCAGGTGTGAAAATGTTATGGGCCTGCCCTGATTGGGTGAGACATGGGGTTTTCAGTGTGTGATTGGGTGGGACGTGGGATTTGCAGTGTGCAGTTAGATGGAAAGTGAAGGGTTGCACTTTGCAGGTGTGGTGGAGGGATTGCAGCTGGTGTCAAACTCTGGCCCCAGCAGAACCAGTGGGTGTTTTGTCATTGGGTCATCCCAGTAGCCTCCCCATGCCCCAGCCCCAGCTGAGGTTTTCACTTTTGCCAAACTGTTGGATCCCAGGGAACACCCTGTTCCTTCGAGCCACCCATGCAAGTGTGATCCTTTCATGTACCTGGATGGGGCCGTTACTGGGCTGTGGGGCTGGTAGTGCGAATCCTCGCTCGCTGCGTTTTTAGCACAGATGCTCACATTCACATACTTCCTAAAAGCGAAAGTTGCACTGAGTGTCTGCTGAGGATCCCACCGATATTCAGCGGTGAGATCTGCAATTCGTGCTGTGGGCTGGATACATTACGTCAAATGGCCTGGCTGCTGTTCTCTGATTGGACGATTTATGTATTTATTCCTGCGCAAACTGTATATATGATTTACCTATCCTGTGATTTGACCATGGTGTAAAAGCCTGGGAAAAAATGCTGAGTACTAACAGGCTCGTTAGTGAAGAAAGGCAGAACAAGAATGAATGGCTGGAAGTTAAAGGCAGTCAAGGTCTAAATATCAAGGCCGAGATTGCGGGTGACTGACCCGTAGAACAAATTCCCAAGAGAAGTGGTGAATTCTCCATCTTGTGGTGTCTTCAGATGCCAAGCAGATGCTCTCCTGGAAAATACGCTATAACCCAGGGGCTGCCCCCTTAGTTTGCCTGGATCTAGCCCTCAAGGCTCAGGGTTTGCGTCTCACTTGTGTGCAGCCCCCGTCTGATTTTTCCGTGGATCAGCAGCCCCCGACCCAGAAAGGGTTCCCCACCCCTGCTTTAGCCAAACACAAGTTATTAGGGGGAACTGGAATTTGTGAGCTACCAACGCTCATATGAGATGATTGCACATTCCCTTAGCTTCAAAATCTACGATCATCAGATTCGTGTCCCTGCCTCAAATAACAATTACAACCTAGAGCTTCAGGGGGTAGCTGAGTTAGTCTGTTACTGAAAAAAACAACAAACAGTCTGGTAGCACTTTATAGACTGATAAAACATGTAGCTGGTATCATGAGCTTTCGTGGGCACAGCCCACTTCTTCAGATGACCGGAGTTATGAGTTGGGGATATGAGCTGGTGGGGACTCTACCTACTTAATAACCACTGAAGGTGCTAACAGCTCCCTGAGTGGTATCCTTCCTGTTTTAGAAATCTATCTATTGACTTTGATTTTTATCTGCTTAGGTTTAAGTACCCATTCTCCAGATACTTAATGATGCTCTGTCTCCCTCCCACTCCTCCCTTTTTTTCTCTCCCCCCTCCTTGCCCCTTCTCCTATTTATTTCGAGTTTTCATATCCCCAACTCATAACTCTGATTATCTGAAGAATGGGTTGTACCCACGAAAGCTCATGATACCATCTACATGTTTCGTTAGTCTATAATTACAACCTGGGAATTCCACCCTCTATCAGCAAGGGAATAGACTCATTCCTAGGCCAGGCCATTGCCTTTCAGAGCTGTGATGGGAGGGTCCAGGGTGAGGGGCCTTTGGGGTTTCACCAGATCTTTACTTTGAAAAGAAAAAGAAAGTTTGTTTTAAGTTTTCTGGAGCCATTTTTCACTTGATCAGAATTCGGAAGGAGATTAAAAAAGCCATCAGTTTGCAGTTCAGTGGAAAGCAGCACGGCGTCATAACGAGTCATGAATAATAAAAAAGCAGCAGTGGCGAAGGACGCAGGTTTTTCCAAAGCCACGCAGAGCTTGGAATCCCAAACGGCTGTTCTGAATCTCGAACCCTGGGGAGTGGAACGGGCCAATCTAGAACCCCAGCTGCCGGACGGGATCATTCTAGAACTCGATGTTTTCCGGTGTTCCGTGGAGATTCCCTGCTGTTCAGGGGGTAAAGGTGGTGTCAATAAGCATGGCTCCAGAGATGCTGAATTTATACCAGCCAGGGACTTGGCCCTCAGTCCCCAGCAGGTGACTCTCTGACCAGTTATTTTCAATGGCTTCTGAATGTAACTGTGATGGCGCGTTGGGGGGCCCCCGTCTCCTGCACCCCGAAATGGCACAGCACCCCCCAGCCGGTGGAATAGAGGAAGTTTATTGCCTCTCCAGGATACAGCACAGCACAGATGTAATCTGGTCACAGAGCTGGGCTAGGATGCCTCAGGCCCCCTTGAGATGGGGGGAGACTGGGCCCCTAAACTCCAGCCCCTTTCCCTAGGCTGTCTCCTCCAAGCCCCCAGACAGCAACTAACCAACACTCTTCCAGCCCTGCCCCCCAGCCAGGGCAGCATTCTACCTTCCTTTGTTCCTCTCCATGGGGGGTGTCTGGCCATACTGGTTGAGAGGTCCCTTTGCATAGTGACTCATCCTGTTTTGCTGGGTCGTGGTACCCACGGCAGCCAGTGGGGGTTATCCCAGAGCCAGCAGCATAGAAACCAGCCAGGTACCCCCACTACGTCACAGTAACAAAGCAACTTGTCCCCTCCCTGGGGGCCTGTTGGCCTGCCCTAGAGAGAGGTCACCATGAGCAGCCTCCGGGCTAAATCCCTGTTAGCCAGGGGTGGCTCTAACTACTCTGCCCCCGGCACTCCCTGGCTAGGGTTGCCAAGTGTCCAGTTTTGAACCGGACAGTTCAGTATTTGAGCTTTCTGTCCGGGAAACAAATTGAGAAAATAGAAATGAGAAAATGTAAACGTCCAGTATTTTCTAAATAAGATGTCATGTACATTGTGATGTAATGCCAAGTGTGTCTACTATTTTTGTTGAAACCATCTGGCAACCCTAGGCTGCTGGCTGGAAGTGCCACATCTCTGGCCTGGCTCTGGGACCCAATCTTTCCGCCTTGTGCCATGTCAGCTGGGAATGGTGGGGGTGGACAGACGCCAGTGCAGGTGGCTGTGAAGTCAGACAGGTGAGGGGGAATCTGCCTGAGCCTTTAGCCTGAGGCAACAGGATTGGCGCCCCGGGAACCATGGGACGTGCTGGGTGAGAAATGTGCCGAGCCCCATTCCGAAGTTCCCAGGGAAGCCACCAAAGAGCTGGGGAGTGCCTGGGCCCCTCCAGCGGAGCAGGGCTCTCCCTACCTTAGCCCAGCTCCGAGCCAGCCCCTCCTCTCCCCTCCTCGAGTGAGGGTGCCGGGGAGGCGGCTGCGGGGAGCGGAAGGGAGTGGAATCCGCACAAGCTGCTGCACAGTCCCTGGTATCTGAGCAGGCCGGTTTATCTGGACTCGCTGGCCCATCCACTTCCTCAGAAGGAGCCGCATTCCTCGGCGGGTGGCTGAGGCTGGAGAGAGGCCAGGGCAGAGCCCAGCACGTCCTGCTCCCGCACGTGGTGTGTGTTGCGGGCTGGCCCGGCCGAAACACACTCAGCACCTTCCTTGCAGGAACCGATTAGAGCCGACTCCTCCGCAAGGACACACAAGCACGGGGGATCCCCAGCCTCATGCTTCAGGGTGGGGCCTGATCCCAGCTGGGGGCCAGGAAGCAATGTGTCATCTCCGCCCCCACGGGGATGGCAGTGCGCACAGCCGGGTGTTTACCATCCTTTATTTATTGTTTATGTTACTGTAGCCCCAGCCATGGGCCAGCCCCATGCTGTGCTTTATATAGCGGAGGTGTATTATTCAGGCCTAGAAGCCTTCTCAGGGCAGGCCCCATTGGGATAGGTGCTGTGTGTGATTTATTAGGTGTATTACGGTAGCACCTAGCAGCCCCAGCAATGGTCCAGGCCGCATGGCGCAGCTGCTGTGCATTGTTTATTAGGTGTGTTATGGTAGCATCCCCTGGGCACCCAATCACAGGTTGGGAGCTTGTTGCACTAGGTGCTGTACAGATGCAGAACAGAGCCTGCCCCGGCCTCCCAAGCTGACAATCTGAGAGTAAGACAAGAGACAGCAGCTAGAAGCAGAGAGGTGGGGAGTTCAAGGACACTTGGAGGAAGGACAGGGGGCTGGACAGCCCTGAGTCAGCTCTGATCTGGGAGCAGGGGTCTAGAAGGGTTAGTGTATTGGGGCTGGTAGTCAGGGTGCCTGGGCTCAGCTCTAGAATAGTGTGAGGACTAGTGGTTAGAGCCCAAGGGTCTGGGAGTCAAAACTCCTGGGTCTTGTTCCCAGGACCAGCTTATTGTCAGCACGGTGTGGGCAAAACAGCCACTCGATGGGCAGGTTTGCGGGGTGTTGAGGGGTGAAGGGTACTTGGGGGCTGAACAGCAAGGAGTGCCTTGTGGGCACAGCATGGGCATGGGTGTCAGGGCTCCTGGGTTCTCTTCTTGGCTCTCACTGGGTGACCTTGGGCAAGGCATGTGCCTGCCCCATGCCTCAGTTTCCCCCCATGTAAAACGGGATTGTTGATACTAATTTCAGAGAACCACATCCCCTGGACAGAAGGACCCCAGGATGACAGTCCTCTCCCTGTCTTTCCTGCCTGCCCTGCAATGGGCTCGGAGCAGGACTCAGTCCTCACAAGGATGCTGGGAGGGAAGGCCGAGTCATCCATGTTTTATAAGAGGGGAAACTGAGGCATGAAGAGGTGACCTGATGTACACAAGTTCCCTTAGCCAGTCAGTACCAGCTCCAGGAATCCCAGCTCCTAATCCGCTGCGCTCCTGGGCCTGCCTGAGAGAGCTTTGCTCCCAGTACGGGGGAACAGCCCAGGAAGTGCCTCACCATCTCCGTGGTCAGGGTGGTAAACCAGTGACTGCCCACCCCTCCCAGGGGCGTGCTGCAGGATCCACCCCCTCTGGGGCAGGTCTAGTGCCATAGGGAAATGGGAGCCTTATCTATGTAGTGGGACCCTCTGCCCCAGTTTGGTCTAGCATGGACTGAGCCCAGAGGTTCCCCCTCCCCCCACTTGGGTAGGACTGGCCCCTGGTCTACATCTGGACCAGCTCAGCTGGCCACATCCCTGGAAGATCCATCTGTCATGGGTGGTTTGGGTTGTTCCTGCGGTGTTATGGGAGCTGATCGACTGTGTGTGGAGGGGTGTTGCCCGTGCTGCAACTGTCTAATCACACAAACCCAAACATCTTAGCTCCGCCCATCCTCTGAGGCTCCGCCCCTCCCCTGCCCTTTCTCTAAGGCCCCACCCTTGCTCACTCCATTCTCCCTCCCTCCTTATATTCACTCTCCTCTCCCTCCCCCACCCTCACTCACTTTCACTGGGATGAGGTGCAGGTTCTGGGATGGGGCTGAGAGGTTCGGCGTGTGGGAGGGGGCTCTGGGCTGAGCTTAGGGCAGGGGGTTGGGGTGCAGAAGGGGGTGGAGAGTGCAGACTCTGGGCGGGAGATTGGGTGTAGGATGGGGTTCAGGGCTGGGGCAGAGGGTTGGGGTGCAGGAGGAGTTGTAGGGTGCAGTTAGGTGGCACTTATCTCAGGGTATGTCTACACTACAGTGTTATAGCTTAATTCGAAATAACGTGTTTACACACAAAATGCATTCTGAAATAGCATTTTGCTATTTCGAAATAGTGCGTCCACACTGAGTGGACTCTGAATCGCATTTAAGGCCAGCCGGAACCAATTCCAGCAGGGCACCAGGTCAGGAATTACTGTGTGGGGCTGCTGCCTGAGGCTAACTGAGGTCTGTGCTTAAAGGGACCCCCCGCTGTATAGCCAGTTCTCAGGTTTCCCTGCTTGCTTGTCTACCTCGATGCGGGACAGCAAAGCATTTTGTCTCTGCGTGCTCTGGTTGCCCTCACTCAGGACACCACAACACTCGGCAACATGGATCCAGAACTGCCCCTGGGCACTCTGGTGCTTCTCTTTGATGTGTTGCTGCGAACCTGACTGCACTTTCTGCAGCCTGCCATCCGGGAGGTCCATCGGGGGGCTGTCAGTATCCAGGAGGCCCTGCGGGAGAGCTTCCACCCTGAGGAGCACTAAGGGTATGTCTACACTACCCTCCTAGTTCGAACTAGGGGGGTAATGTATGCATACCGAACTTGCTAATGAAGCCCGGGATTTGAATTTCCCGGGCTTCA